TGAGATCGCCTCAGGATGGGCACAGGGAATGGAAGTACCTAATCACCCTTCACAGACCATCGGTCAAGCAGCTGAGGGAGAGGATCAACCATATGGAGGTCTGAGGAGTGGAGCCAATGCACTGACCAGGCCCACCTGTGGGGACAGCGGCTTGGGCAACTCAACCCCTCTTAGCCTGCTGAAGCCCGAGCCCAACCTCACTAGCCCAAGTGGCCAGTCGCACTCCCTGACTACAAGCAGCAGGGAGTCCAGCCCAAAGGTGAAACTGCCCATGATACCAGTGAACAACGAGTCCAGCGGGCCAACTTCAACTCCCCTCCAGATGGCACTATGCCCCTGCCTACCCATTGGACATGGTGATGGTGAATGCCATAGCCGCAAACCTGGAGGGAGACTCCATGGTGTAAGTGACAAAACTACATGATGAAGATGCACCAGAGCTGGGGAACATCGATGCATTCCTAGAGGACCTGAGAACTAGATTTGAAGATGACTCACAAGCCTTAAAAGTTGAAGCAGAAATCCGAGACCTGAAGCAGAGCGGGCAGCCCGTGAAAGAATATGTTCAGGAGTTCCACAGAGTAACTGGCAAAATGAGGCAGTGGTCGGGCTGACTGTTGATCTACCACTTTAAAGAAGGTTTGGACCAAGAGCTACTGCGGGCCTGCCTTTGCTGTGGAGTCCCCGAACGAACCCATGAGTGATACCAGATGGCTGCAGCACTATACCTCAAACTGAAGCAGTGCAAGAAACACAGCACACCTGAACCAAAACCCAAGAGAAACCAAGAAAGCCACCGGTTCGGTTGATAAATTACTCCACCCACCAGCCCTCCCTCTACCCTGCTCAGAGCCCCCATTAAATGCTTCAGGGGCAGCCAGCAAGGCCATAGAGCCACTGAATGCCTGGCACTCACCCCAGACAAAAGCAACCTCTGCCACATTGACCAGACCAAAAAAGCTGCTGCAGAAAGCCTGGGAAAAGTCAAGCTTGACATGCCAGGCCGTTGAGGTCTCCTCTCCTTCAAGTGAGAGAGAGGGAACTCCGACTGAAAAGGATCAGCATCCTGCTCTTACGACAGTGAAGATGAGTGCAAAAGCGACCTGATGGTAAGTGAAGCCATCCACCCCTTTGCCATCCCCGCTAAAATTGTGGTGCCAAAGAGAGGAATTCGGGGAGAGGTGGATGCCCTAATAGACTCAGGCTGCACCTGATGCCTAAATTTACCTATCCATGGTGCTGAAGCTAGGAACCCAAGCAAAAAAAAACTGCCTAAAGCCATGAGGTTCGAGCAGGTTGATGGAGCAATGATAGGAAGGTCCCCTGCAACTTAGCAGTGTGGCTAGGGTTGGGCCAACATTGGGAGACTATCCAATTTGTAGATAGTTCCGAAAATGACTGAAGTAGTAATCCTGGGGCTGTCTTGGCTAGACAAATGGGGCCCGATGATCTGGTGGAAAGGGGGGAAACAGGAAGAACCACTTTTACTACCTAGGCCCGTGATGGCGAAACTATGGCACACGTGCCAGAGGTGGCATGCAGAGCCCTCGCTGTGAGCGCACTGTCGCCAGTTGCTCTTTTGGTTTCCGCCACGCACATGCATGCCGGCCAGCTGGTCTTTGCCAGAGCGCCAGAAAACAGCCTGAAAATGGCTCAAAAAACAGCCTGAAGTGGTAAAAAAACAGGCCATTTTCCAGACCATTTTCCAGGCTGTTTTGAGGCCATTTTTTGGAAATGGATCACCTGAAAACAACCTAAAAATAGCTTGAAAATGACCACAAATCAGGCATGTGTGTGCCAGCCAGTTGGTCTTTGCCAGAGTGCTAGAAAACAGCCTGAAAATGGTTGGAAATAGCCAAAAAACAGACCATTTTCCATGCCATTTTTGGGGAATTTTGGGGGCTCTTTTTTGGCCATTTTTAAAAACAGCTTGAAAACATCCCCAAAACAGGCATGTGCGCACTGGCCAGCTGGTCTTTGGATTTTCAGCACTCACACTTACACGTCCATGCATGCACGTTCCAGTTTGGGCACTGGAAAAGGTTTGCCATCACTGACCTAGGCTATTGAGTGAGAGGGAGGATTTGGACCCTGGAAAAGTAAAAGCCACCCTGGAATGGCAACCCTCTTGAACCTGTAAATTCTGATATCTCCTTGGTAACCTCTTCTACGCTCTAGCCAGTACCTGTTGGGATGACCTTGGTTCCCATGAGATAGTAACTTGTTGATGTCTGGTCTGACATTCCATAGCTCCCCGCCCCCCAAAGTGTGCCAGAAATTGAGAAAAATGGCTGTGACGGGCCTGATCCATTTCAAAGTTGACATATAGATTCCATGGAGTCCCAGAAGGCATCATATCAGACCACAGAGTTCAATTCACTTCACAGTTTGCTGGGGGGGGGGGAGTGAAGGCGCAAATGGGATCCTGGAGCACTAGGCTTTCTGAGATAGTAAAAATCACTCACTTAGTCCCCAAAACCCCTTTTTTATTTAAACAGCTGTGAATTATGTTAATTCACAGTCCGTAAAGATTCACAAACAGTTTGTGAAGAGTCCGACAAAAGTCTGCCACAGTCTTTCAGGGTAAGGCTGATAAGGATCCACCTTTATCTCCCTTGAAATGCTTTCCAATTAGTTTTGCAAGGCCAAATGGAGCACAGAGTCAAAACGGAGCTTCAGAGTTCAAACTGACCAGAATGAACAAAATTGCTTCCTGAAAAGGCTCACATCATTTTGGTTCTCCTTTATGTCCCATGTTCATCTCTAAGCCTTACTCCCGAGTTGCCCCTTTTGTCTTAACTGTTCTTGCCTTCTGGCAGCTCTGCGCATGCATACACTGGGAACAGGCTCCTTCTGCTCCTCTGCCTCGCTGATGTCAGACTCCAGAGGCTCTGGAGGGAGCACATAACTACCAGATGGCCCTGGCCCCCTCTCTGCCTCTGATGCAGAGCGTCGTCTGAGCCTTTCCCAGACTCCAGAACTGGTCCATGTTCCTCCCCAACCTCCTCACTGTCTGACTCTGCTGCCAGCTCCGCAGGCCACTGGCAGACCACAACACAGTAGCTAAGATGCTACATTAGCTACCAACAAGACAATTGGGTTGACTTCTCCCCTTTCTCAGATGCAACCTGCAATAATATAGTGCATTGCACCACTAGTTTCACCCCTTTTAAAATTTCATCTGGGCAGGACTTTGTAGCTATGCCCAAAATGTCTCAAATCAAACCATAAATGTCATCACTAGCTGAATGGGTCACCCAACTATAGAGCACCTGGCCAGTGGTTTGCAAAGTGCCAGAAGAGGTGCAGGAAATATATAAAAAAATAGATAAAAATGTTCCAGACACAAAGACTTTAATGTAGGTGTCTACCATTCCACTATATAGTTGCAGTCCAGGCAGAAATTGAAAAAAATGGGTCCCAACTACATTGGTCCTTTCCTTATCACCAAGATTATTAACCCAGTCACCATTGAATTAGACCTACTGAAATCTCTTAGATGCGCCCACCCAACTACAGTTTTCCACTGTAGCCTTTTGAAACCAGCAATCACTTCTCCCCTAAGTCTGGCAACAAAACCACCACCCTCTCCCCATTTTAATCATGGGCGAACCATGCTTTGAAATTAAAGAAATCTTGGGCTCTCACAAACAGTGGAAAAATCCAATGGAATGGAATTGCATGGAAACACTTTCTCCCATCAGAGATAGAGTGGGTGAACCAGAGGTGGTATTCTCCTAGTTTGCATCGGTTTGGGCGAACCAGTAGCAGTGGTGGTGCGAGGCTCCACCCCACTCACCCACATGTCATCACAGACCTTCTGCGCATGTGCAGAAGGTTCTGAGCATGCCCAGATGTGTTGTGCGCGAGCTTAGCGAGCGCTCCCACTACCGAACCGGTAGTGAAGAAACCATTGGTGGGGTGAACACACAGCATGTCCAAGCCCCAAACTTCTTCACAGATTGCGCAGCAAATATCCAAACAAGTCCCATTGAAACCAAACTAATTATTCCCTTCATGTTTTGTCTCTGTTTCTTTTCTTGCAGGACTAACGCCCCTGTCAAGGGGAGGGGGAATGTCAGATCTGCCATCTTCAGCTGTTTTGCTTTGCTTCATTGGCATCCTGCCATAAAAGGAAGAAGGGAAGGGAAAGGATTTGGCTGGAGAGAAGGAGACAGATGAAGGGAGCAACAAGCTGAAAGGAACCAGAGGTGTGAAACTGGAATAAACCAGCCTCCAAGGATACGTGGCCTAGGAACGGAATGTGAAACCATTTTGAGAAGTGCCCAACTTGAAAGCAGTTCCCAAAACATCAAACCAGGATGCTACTGGACACTGTTGAACTGGTCAAGAGGGGAGGGCCGTGGAAAGGGGGGAAATGTAACCCCTTGCATGGAAATATTCAGATCTAGCTTTTCTTTCATTGCAACCACTGATGTTTAGTAAAAGAACTTGTCACTTGAACCAAATTGAGTTGAGGGTCTTTCTTTCCTAGGGATCTAACTGGGGCAGGTCTGAGAAGGGCATAGCGGCATCTTGTTTGCAATTTATGAGTCCGCCATCCCATCTCACATTCCTTTTGTCATCTTCCATTGGGCGAAACAATATCTCATAGGACACCAATTTTTGAATCAAGGTACTTCAAATGGACTAATTTAAAGAAGGCATCCAAAATCTAGAATCCATTAATTCCATAGGATTGAAATCTCAAGTTTCCTCACAGCAATTGTACTGCAAAGTTGTGGTTGTTGCAGTGCCGTCCCGTAGTACTGTCACAATCACCATTTGTTCTGTTAAAATACACCCTGTTGTGCTGTTAAATGGCTTCTACTGTACTGCCGTAAAATGGATTCTACTGTAGAGCACAGTGGAGTTGCCATGGTAACGGCTTCACAGAACTCAGATCTGCAATCTTCAGCTGTTTTGCTTTGCTTCATTGGCATCCTGCCATAAAAGGAAGAAGGGAAGGGAAAGGATTTGGGAAAACCTTGGCTGGAGAGAAGGAGACAGATGAAGGGAGCAACAAGCTGACAGGAACCAGAGGTGTGAAACTGGAATAAACTCCACAAGGTGGCTCCCTCTGGTAAGGGGGAATATCCAACATTAGACATTACATTTGGTCCAGACATTTTTCCCCTATAAATAAAGACTCAGGCAGTCAGTAATAAAAACACTTCTAATTCTTCTCAGACTTTTATATGAGTCAAGTACAAAGTCTCAACCAAAAGAAAAATTGTTAGAAGCAATTAAACTGTCACATGGAGATGCTCTCACCTCTCCTATTCACTAGCTCAAGTGATCTCACTTGCTGAAATCTGGCTGCCATATATTTCTGAGCCTTTCCATCATTTATTTTCAAGGTTGCATTTCTAGAGACAAATTACAATATTCCAGTTTAACATTTTTATTGAGTTTTACAAAATGTTGTAAAATACAAAAGTAAATAAAAAAGCAGTGGGGGGAGGGGGAAAAGAAGTGAGGAGAGATAAGAAAAAAAAAGAAAAGAAAAAGAAGCATTGACTTCCGAGTTTCTCTGTTATAGTAAAATAAGGCATTAGCGTCAAATCACAACTTTTTGTTTTTCATAATAGTATGAAGTATCAAGCCTTTTCTATAAAGATCTATCAATCTACTTGGTAAAACCCCAAATCAGAATTTCATTCTTTTCCACATCAGGCAAGAAGTTCAGAAGCGGTCTCCACATGGAAACAAAAGTACTTATGTTCTTTTCTTTAATCAAAGTGGTCAGTTTTGCCATTTCAGCCAACTCCATCAAATTCTTCCATAGTAGGAATCGAAGTGTCCTTCCATTTTTGTGCATACGATACAGTGGTGAAATTCAATTTTTTTACTACTGGTTCTATGGGTGTGGCTTGGTGAGCGTAGTGTAGCTTGGTGGGCATGGCTTAGTGGGCGTGGCAGGGAAAGGATACTGTAAAATCTCCATTCCCACCCCACTCTGTGGACAGCCAAAGGTGGCATTTGCCAGTTCTTTGAACTACTCAAAATTTCCGCTACCGATTTTCCAGAATCTGTGAGAACCTGCTGGATTTCACCTCTGATACAATAGTCTTGCTTCTGTCAACATATATAATATCAAAGTTCCACATTTTTTCTCCTGTTCTTTTTCCATTAGGCCCAAAAGGGAAAGTTCTGGTTTCATTTTTATCTCCATTTTGAAAATTTTCTGTATTAAAATATGAATTATACTCCACTTTTTTTCGGTTTTATCACATGTTCATCATAGATGATAAAGTCCCTTCTTTACTTTTACACTTCCAACATTCATTTGATATACCTTTATACATCTTAGATAACTTAGCTGGTGTTAAATACTAATGATATATCATCTTATAGAAATTTTCTTTTAGATTATAATTTAGTGTAAATTTTAAACCCTTCGTCCACATATTTTCTCATTGTTCAAGCACCACATTATATCCAAAATTCCTTGCCCACTGAATAATGCAATGTTCATTTTCCAAATTCAATTTCAATACCATTTTATAGATCTTAGCAATAATAGGTTCATCATTGCCACATAATGAAATTTCCAATTCACTTTTAACAAAGTCAAATCTATAACACTTTTTATCCAGTTTAAATCTTCCTTTCAGTTAAGTAAACCAGATAAGTAAACCAATGACAAACATAACCTTCTGATTCAAGATCTTCCCTCAACTTTAATATTGGGTCAACAGAGTTGAGAGATAAAATTTTACCATACGTCAACCAGGCTGGCTTTGCCACCATTTCTTTTCTTTAAAAAAACTTCCTATGGGGATGTTCTGACTGAGGCTTCCCAAGAGCATGAGGCAAACTCCTTGTCCTGACCCCCAAAAAACAAAACACTTTTATTAATTTACTATGAATTCTGCTCATAGCCAGCAAAATCTTTCAAGGGAGGATTTACTGTCACAGACCTTATCTGGCTTGGAGAACTGACAGGCCAACATCTGCAAAACTTGACAAGGAGTGTCAGAGAGTTACGAACCAATTAAGCGAACTAATTGCCTCCTGAAAACTCCACTCCCCTTTCCCTCCTCTTTTATTTCCTCTGGGAGGAGCCATTCATCTTCCACCTGTGCCCTTATTCCCAAATCAACCCCTGATCTTTAGCTGTTCCCTTAATCTGGCAACTCTGCACATGCGCACACTGGGAACAGGCTCCAGCTGTTCATCTGCCTCACTGACATCTGCCTCTGAAGGCAGCTGATAACTGGCATATGGCTCTGGTCTCCTCTCTGCCTCTGACACGGAGCCCACATCAGAGCTTTCCCCAGACTCCATGACTGGCACATGTTCCTCCCCAACCTCCTCACTGTCCAAATCTGCTACCAGCTCTGCTTGCCACTGGCAGGCCACAACAGGTGACACCCAAAGGGGCAGCTTTGTAGAAGCCTTGTTTTATATTTATTCTAAACTCTTACTATGGCACATACAACAAAATAGTTATTAAAATCAACATTAATTTTGCATTTATCATACAATAAGTAGCCGTGCCATCCAAACCTTTATTCATGTCCCTCTAATTCAAGTAACCTCTTATTCTGGAGGCTCACTCATTCTTTTGTCCAGGTCAAATAGCATGCATCAAAATACAATTTCATATCTGGTAGACCCAACCCTCCACTTTCCTTAGTATCTTGCAGTAGCTTATATTTAATTCTTGGGTTTTTTTCCCTTGCCATA